GCTCAGCCTGGACCCAGAGACAGCTTCAGTCTGAGAATTGACAAGGTTGCTCAAACTTCTGGAACAAATCGCGCGAACCACGCCTCTTCAGTTTTCTGGATCTCAAGGACGGTCGTGGAAGATGACCCCTGGAATCCAGTTGCAGTGCAAGCCAACTAAAATATCCCAAAGGCAGCCTCCAATGGTGTTGGTGTTTGCGAGCTGTTCTCACACTCCCGGGCAAAGTCAACGGGCACAGGACACTCCTAGCCGGACTAGACTTGTTTAAAAGGTTTGTCCTTAGCAAACTCTGAAGCCAATCACTGTGCTGATTGGAACAGGTGAGCTACTTCTCATGCTGCGCTGTGGTGGGTCGCGTTTGCACCCAAAAAGAGACTGCACAGAATTTGTCCAAACCCGTCCTCATCAAACAACTCTTTGAGCTCTGGGTAAGCCTCTATATAGCAGCAGCGACGAAGCCAAACCTTCCAAAGCATGACATTGCCTGCGCAGGCAACCTGGCTGTTTTGATGTTCTTCGAACCACTCTTTCACGCTCTGAGACATGCTGTCCTGCAGCGGAATTGAACCTAAAGATGCTGCAAACATCAAAACCTCTTGTCAAGGTTCACCATCGTCGTGTTTTTTGTCAAAGAAAAATCACGGACTTCTGTGACTTCTGTTACATACACCATGCAGAGCCCTACCATTTGTTTGCCAACCCTTTGCAAAGAATCCTACAATCCCCAGCTTGAAGTATCTGTTCCTTCCTTCACAGACACCTCAAGGAAACTTCAAGCATGTTGTTCATGCTCGAATTGTGGCCTTAAACCGCACTGCCGGAGCCAACCGTCCCAGCAACTGGGGCAACTGAGCAGGGCCATCTATCAAGTTGGAGCCCGACTCCAACCATGGAAGTGGCACAAAAGTTGATGGATTGGGCTCATTCACCATGTTCAAAAGAAACCTTGCGGTTCGAACAACATCTAGCGTACAGCGCTGGGCCAAAACAAACTTGGCCAGCTCTAGCCAGTTCTTCTTCCTTTCAGAAGGAATCTGCTTGAAGGGTTTCAATGATGTCGGCAAAGGGCTCAGGCGAAGAATCCGATTGTACGGAACTGCAAGCTGGACTTCTTGAGCCAGGTTGGCATCTGAGGCGTGTCTCTTGACCATACATAGAATGTCAAATGGGTGCTCTGGGAGAAGTTCAGCAACTCGTCCGGTCGTCTTCACTCGGAGGTTGCTGGGTGTGTCTAGCGCACAGCGATCGCTGACAACAACAACTTAGGAACGATCAGTCTGAGATTGATTGCATTCTTGACAAAACAACATGTCGACTGGGCCTATGCGTCGAAGGAACATAATTGAATGTACTGCAGCATCAGAGCTATCACGCAGTCCTCCAGAAAAGTGCACTCCAAGATTTGCCAACCTTAGTTGTCCCCGGGCCAGACAAAGCAACGGCACGTTTCTCAGATTGAAGGCATCCCAGTTTTGCTATACATTTACAGCAGACTTGGATTCTGACCAGTCCTTCCAGTTTCGAACGCTGGTGACGTACTCGCAATGGACGGTACAATTTGGCCCCAAAAACTTTTGAATCTTGATCTTCTGGAGGCAGTCTTTGATCTTCCTTGTCAAATCCAACTGTGATAAATTTGCAAGGATCAGGGGCTCCACCCACCCAAAATGCGTCTTCCCAGACTTGACTGTAAAACTGTAACAATAAAACCTGAACACAATGCATTGAATACAATCCATGGCTCGCACAAATGTCTTCACAATCCGAAAGGCAATGGCAGTAGCGGAATGCTATGGTCAGCTGTCCAAACAACTGATCTAAGCAGTTGTGAGTATGACCGACAACTGAGAATTGGAGGCTGGTGAACCGGAACTTAAGTTTGAGTATCAAGACACAAAGAAAAGCCATGAGCCAGGAATTCTTTGATTCACGTACACAATTGTCTGCCCAAATTACCATTTCAGTTGGCATTGGGCAATTCCTTTCTCGACATTTGGAGGCGATTCTTTCCAGCCCCCGAGCACAGCACTCAATAATGAAATCTGAGTCTGATGCTGTCCTCGGATCTGCGATGAACATCTGGAGCTCCCACCAGTGGATCCATATCCCGTGGACCTTAGTCCTGGGTCGATCTTTTTCCGAAAAAGCCTTGGAAAGTCTGTCTGACCGCACCCTTGGCACACTCCATTTTGCCTGGTCCATGCCGTCCTTGGCAAGACTCAGGAAAGAATGGATGCTCAACCCGTAAATGCCAACGCAATGTGAACCCAATTAAATAATTCCAAGAATCCCAATGAATCATGAGGATCGCTTGGGAACCATCACTGCGAAGATAGGCATCATTCTGAATCAGGACAGCAAAAGTTGCGATGCAACATGTTTGACTTCCATGGCAATGGGACAATGAGCCAAGCCTTCAATTTCTCTTCAAGGCGCCGGTCAGACCGCACCAAATCAATGTGCGCCTTGTAGCTGCTAAGAATATTGTATTTTTCCGTCATGTCCTGGCCATCAATGGATAGGAATCGGGAATATATACTCCGTATTAGTATGATTGTAAAACTGTCATATTGTGCTGACATGCTCAATGTTGAAAACTGCCTTCGCTCGCTCATAGTTTTGTTTGAATTCAATGCACCGATCACATTTGGCATGTGAACTTGGTGACAGGAAGGACAACACGTTTCGCCATTGGCTTGTGAACCTCCGCCAAAAGTGGGAGTACCTGCCAAACCATTTCTGTAGATAGTGTCGCCACAACATACCACTTGGTCAAGCCCTTACTTGGTCAAGCCACGAACACTCTTTGTCAAACTCCACCCAAAGCATCTTCACGCTTTGTGGTGGCAAGAAGCGTCGAGGGAGGTTCTGTATGTTGTCCACCCACCTTGGTTTAAGTTTGTTTCAAAGGTACTAATGCTGCGGAACTTGGAGAAATCGAGCTTGCTACTTAAGCAAACCACCGACATCACACCAAACAACCAGTGCATCACAGAAACTTCGTGAACAAGTTCTTGTCACCCATGCAGTGAAGCTGAAGTTCTGTGTCTTCCTCAATTCTTTCATGAGGCATTTTGAAAGCATCGTCACCATCAAGCATGGACTGGTCAGAATCACCTGGGCCAGAATAGGTTTGCCTTGATACTTGATGTTCATTCCAAGAAGTCGCTAAGTTGAACATCAATTTGCTTTGCCTAGTGGCTGTCTTGTTCATACGTCGCCCTACCAGATACAACTTCCAGCGTCAAAGGCCCACTGGATCGATGTCGAGCTGCCCTCTTGAACCTGAATTATTCGACCAAACTTGGATGACTATGAAGATGACTCACTGACTGACTAACATGCTTGCATCCCAAGAACTCTGTCGGCATCATCCCTGCCGACTCCAAGTACTTCTGCAGCAGAAAGCGATCGACTTTCATGTAGTTGATAGGGACGTGATTGCCAGCCTCATATGATAGAATCACTGTCACTTCATCCCCAATGACAGAGAAGAAAAAACACATGCCCCCGAGAGAATATTGATTGTCTGAGAAACCCCTCCATACTGACTGTAGCGTCTGTCTAGCAATCCCGTCTTTGCTTGATGCAATCGATTCGTTCCCACACCAAGCAATGCAGCAGCACATACGCGACTCGTGCTCCTCCCAATTAGCTTCCAGGTGGACTCCCCATTTGACTTGCCAAGCACGTCGTGTAACTTGGTCAGTTAAACGTCCGATATGAAATCCGGAAGGAGACAACTCTAAATTTTAAAGATAAAACAACAATATGCAAAATGCATTTGCTCCGCTGAAAATGGATTGATGGAATTGCTGCTAATGCTGAGGCTGTGACTAAAGTGTCCTGCTGGGTTTTGGAAAAATTCCAAAAGCAATCCAGGAATTTATGGAGTTCGTCCGTGCTCTTTGCAAACTGGCTGAAGCAAGTTCCACGACAGCAATTGCAACAAGGGCGATCGATGAGATGCCCCACCCTCTTTTTGGAACGCCCATTCGAGTGATACCTAGGCAAGACCATAAACCTAGAAATCTGTTGTCCAGTAATGCCAAGACTCTGAATTCCAGTTGTTGGTTAAGTGCCTTTGTGCAACTATGCTGCGTCTGACGAGGAATCCGTATTCGGTTCAGTCTGCACCAACTATTGTCATAATTTGGTCGTTTCCGTAGCTGATTCACCTTGGTGCCTCCTTGCTCGGTAGCACGCTTGCAGGTTAAATGAGAGTTCATGACTTGCCAATCCAAACGGACAGCTGGTCCGTTCGAAGTTTGCCCCTCTGTTTGCCTATGCTGCTTCAACTGATGTTTTCTGACAGGATTTGCTGATTTGCCGGAAGCTGCACAGGCCACCTTTAAGGATACAGATTTTTTCTGCTTCGCCAACGTCTGCAAATACCTGACCAATACAAAGTACAGTATTATGGTTGTGCTGAGTGGTTACTGTAACTTCTTGAGGAGTGCAATATTCAATTCAATTTAAATGCAAAACAAGCGTCTTCCTTCGAAGCTCGAACGCCATTCGTCTACAGCTGCACCATGCATCTACCGATATGAAAAGTAAACATGCATATTAAAATAAAATTTATTGGCTCAATTTGTGTCTTCCGATATCGTGGCCGTCAAGTATATGAAAACTTAGTGGCCACTTGAATCATTTATCCCCGATGTCCTTTATGTTCCACGGTTTAGGACCCGATCAGCCAAACGGCTGCAGCGGAATTCAGGCTGCCTCCTGATCTACTTATTACGAAATTCGATCTACTTATAACGAAATAGCCTTATGTAATATCCTCTAATGTTATTATGTTGATGTTGTAAATCTGCTTGAGAAATAGGGAACTGGTCCCCCCCGATCCCATTCCTGTTCTTGGGACTGTTAGTGCTCCTGGAGTGTGCAACCCTCACAGTGATTGAACGTTGACCCGGGCTCCTCTACCAAGTCTCTTCACCCACCAAACTCATCGTAAACCTCACTCCCCATCCTCTCAGCCACCAAGAAGCCCTCTGTGACAACACCACCGGCAGCTTGCGATTCGGCCGCTGCTTGTGTCAGGCGGTTCTTGGCCTCCAACTGTTCATCCGAAAGGCCATAGTCTGCATCCTTTGCATCGCAGCCTCGCGTTGTGTGGTGGTTGATGTTCATAGCCATTGTTCTTGTTAGAAACGATTAGAATGGATCAACTACCGCGGCTGGGGCACAAAAGCTTCCTGCAGCGGCCATCCGTGTGTAGGTACCTGGGTGAGACTGCATGTAAACGAATCGCGAAAACCCTCCTAGCCACTTAGAAGCAAGAAGCTATATACTAGGAGCAAGGGCATCGCTACTAGGGGCTCCTGGCCTCACTACTAGGAGCAATGCTAGGAGCAAGAAGCTACTAGGAGCAAGGACGCTACAATGGAGATGCAATGAGTCAACGCTTGGTCTACCAGCAACCACCTTCCATCACATTTTACTTCGGCAAAGACCCAAGGAGGCAGCAAAGTTTGTTTTGAATTTCAACATGGCATCCTATTCCGGGTCAACGTCCAACAAATCTTTAGGTCAAAGAATGGCTTTCAGCTTGGAGTTTCACTATCAATCATATCAGGGACATTCCCTTTGAAAACAGAATGATTTTCTTGGCTGTCAACACTTTAACGTGTTGGTCTGGGACTGACGCAAGAAAAGTGGATTGAATTGGCCTCCACGCGGGGCGACACTGCACTTAATTTTAAACAAGCACTGTTAGGCAAGCACACAAATCCCCTCAGATGTTTTGGATATGGTTCTACCTTTTGAGACCTTTTAGACCCCGTCAGTATATCATCTCACCCTTGACCTTCCTTCTTGATCCTTTTCTTGCTCATGGTTTGGGTTTGCGATAGGTTCTCCCCTCGTGAAAGAACCCGTGTCTCAAGCCTGTCCCAGGCACACTGGTTGACCACATTGGGCGGCATGGGCCTTGGGCTGATCTTGGTCAAGGCTGCCTGCTGCATCTGATAGTCCGCCACCCCGAAGTGAGCATCGTCGAAGCCTATCGGCCCGTGACGTGGGGAAACGAAAAACGTTTTCTGATGCTTGGGTTCGGTTCAAAAAATCAAGGCGCCACAAAGCTTATATTCAAGGATTAGCACTGTTCACCAATCTACATACAGTAGTTTTCAGCCATGGATGTCAGGCTTATATCTTATTCGATTTTGTTGGGTCCAACCCTGGTTTACCAGAGTGGACTATTCCGGATGTGACTCTTCAGTTTCACCTTAACCAGTTCAAAGTCAGGTTCCGAAGGTTTGGTCAGGGTCAATCTATTTCTTATCCTCACCGCGTCAACCTTCGTGAATTGCATTTTGGTAAGCTTGCTGGCTTCATCGGTTTTTTCCAAGCCTCTCTCATCCCACAGAGTCGCTTACTTGTGCATTGATGCTTCCATCCAGTTGTGTGACTCGGTCACTCGCTCTTCTAAGGGCCGGGCCGTTTCTTGTAAACTTGTGCGTCTTCCTTTTTATTGTTTCGGGTCAATTCCGGCTTCGCTGCGTCATTCGCTCTTCTTTCGTCTCGCGTCGTTCGTGCGGCACTCAGGGCATCAGGTTGCAAACATATATGATTCTGTATGTATATCACATCACTTGCTGGTTCTTGGCCAGAACTCAGTTGTCTTGCATGGACCCCCCCAACCACCTGACTCAAAGAAGGTCAATCAAAAATAAATAGGACCACAAGACCTCACTTGGTGCGTGGAAGTGTATGGAAGTAGTGATGCCAACTGTTCCATGAACACTATGTAGTGCTACCATGTGCTACCGACTCTTGCATCTATTGTGGTGGCGTATATATATATATATATATATACATTGGGTAAGTATATCCTAATCCTCGTGACAGTGGATGATGATGGTTAGTAAACGCCTTATTGAAAAATAGTAATGTTCTTGTTTATCAACTGGTTTCAGGTAGGTTCAAACCAATCATGTCTTTGGAGTTCTCACATGTCTCAGCGAAGGAAAGCAAGCACGTCTTTCTCGTCCGATGTTCGGTGTTCGGATGTCAGGTATGGAGTCCAGGTCCGGCTGGATAACCTGCAGAACGTCCATGATACAGTGTGGATTCCAACATACATAATCTAACTACAAATTATGTTTGCATACTTTTTGCAAATACAAAGCTTTTGGCCCTTGTAGAATCTTTTCCAAGTCGCAAAGGAAAAACACAACGCCTGGTGACCTCCCCCTCCCCTCCTTCCCAACTCTTCCCGCCAAAAAGCTGGTTCTGGGACTCAGCCTTATCAACCGGTTGTGGCAGATTTGCCGAAAGCTTTCTGCGATCTTCTGCAAGAGTCCCGATTGGTCATCACCACAAACAACTGACACAAACTAAGACGCGGCAATCAATGTCAACCTATACTTCATCCAGAAGATGGTGAAAAGGACTCGCTCTATCTCTCTGTATGTATGTACTTACTGTATACATGCCCACAATTACTACTAGTTACATGGTATGAGTCTGGTGCTGCTTCTATCCAGCCAGCAATCACGCAGCTGAGCAGCCGGTTTGACAAGATGTACGTGGGAGGACTGGGGGTCTCAGAGGCATCGCGGGTCTTCGGCATTTCCTCCGCATCCGCGAACTCATCGTCGTCCTGATCAGCGGGGGGGGGGCGGACGCAGTACATGCTCAGAACAACAAAGAACATATTAAATTGTTCTTTGGTGTTGCTTTCGGCTCCCCCACTTGCAAAGTTGGGTCTTGCATGTCAGGATCTTGGAAGCTTGTCATGCAAATGATATACTGCCCAACATGGATGTCCTTCTTCCCTTCTCCTGGATCAGTTAAGTTGTCAACAACAGAAAAGCTAAACAAAACTACCAATTGCAAAACATATATATATATAACCATTGATGCGGTACCCTGGGTGGCAGCAATAATGAAACAAATAACGATATGATTTGATTCATCGTTCTTCAACATATTATGTGCAAGAACATAAGCCTTGCATCAAAACTGCTCCCACCACCACACCTCAACACCAGCTTTCGATTACAGCTAGTAGAAGCACTACAATTATATAACCATGTGTCAACCAATCTCCAAAATCCCAAAGTTGTCGAACTACATTTGATCATTTAACATTATTGATTGTTTAAAATGGCTCTTTCATGAATCTTACAATACATAAATTCTTATATATCTCCCATCCACTCACCAGAACCCTTCTCCCCGTGCCTTGCCGGTGCTCCCTGTGCACTCGCCCCGTGCACTCGCAGGCGGCGAGCACTCGACGCGTGGTTCACCGCGGTGAACCGGGCGACTCACCGAGCACGTGGACATGGGCACAGGATCCAACCTAGTAGCGTCCTTGCTCCTAGTAGTAAGGCACTTGTTACTAGAAGCGATGCACTTGTTCCTAGTAGCTTCTTGTTACTAATAGCTTCTTGCTCCTAGTAGCGATGCCAGGAGCCCCTAGTAGCGATGCCCTTGCTCCTAGTAGCTTCTTGCTCCTAGTAGCGATGCCCTTTGCTCCTAGTAGCTTCGTGTTACTAGTGGTACGGCCGGGAGCCCCTAGTGGCGTCCTTTGCTCCTTAAGAAAATCACTGTTCCAAATCGTTTGAGGATTTTTTGTTGGCTGGAGATTTTGTTGGATTTTAGAGATTTCTATAGATTGCTTAAACCTTGTGCGGCGGGAAGATTTGCGTAAACATGCGTAAAAACAGATTGAAGAAAAGTAGAGCTTTGGGGCTGGTTGGGGAACAGATTTAGCCCTTCATTATTGGCCATCCAGCACGACGAGGACTGCCAAACTCAGTTGGAGTGTGGAGCAAAGCAGCCAATGTGGAGCAAGCGAGCTGGGGTGCACAATTGCGCCGCGTGTACTCAGAGCGGCAACCTTACTCTTCAATGGCATTTTTATAGCAACATTCTGCTTGGATAAGGTGCACTTTGTCTTCATATATCTTTCAACCGGCTGAGTTCACCAACATCTTTTCAATAAGGTCGGATGTTCAAAGTCTAGACCAGCTGGCATGTGCCATGTGCCGGGAATGTTTGAACTCTGTTCGATTGGGGTCATGGGGGCTCTTGGGCCAAAGGTTTTCTTGACACAATGTTGCGAGCAATATCAAAAGGTTTCTGAACCGACATGGCTGCCAGAAGAGAGCAAAGCTCGCTGAAAGCCTGGAAATGAACGCCCTCAGACGAGGAACTGGGGTCGCACCAATATCTCTCTGGGTGGGTTGTAGCCTGAATAATCAAGATTGATCAAACCTGTTGAAGATCGTTTTGAGCTTAATATGGTTTCTTCCGTGACCTGTCTTCCCCCACATCTCTGCTAGGAAAACAGGCTTGCCACATTTTACTCCTGAAACGAAAACCAGCTGAGCCGAGGCCACGGACGGCCCCCAGCGTTGGTGAACGCAATTTTCTGCAGCCCAAGGTTAGCCAAAAGCCAATGAAATCGTGACATCGATGTGGAATGATGTCGTTGGCTCTCCAGGCAAACAAATCAACGTTGAGGAGTGCATCCTCTAAACTCTAAACAAAGCATGCGCCCCCTTTCACAATTTCATGACATCCCAAACCCATCAGTTCCGACACAAACGAGGAGTTGGGATGACCTACAAGCAGGATCACAACTAGGTGACCTTCGGTCTTGGAGATGTTGTAGGAGCCTACATGCATCTCCCCCACCCAGAAATGCATGTAAGCCAGAATGGGTGAGAACATGTGAGAACTACCTCAAAGCGTGGGTGAACCATGCTTGGCCAAGGCCAAGGTACCATTCATACTGGCATTCCAGAAGTCAGCATAGCCCGCAGAAACTTGGCCAAGCCTCAATGTGTTTGGCATGGGGCATGGAATTTTGCAGCCAACTGGCCCCCCCCCAGAGGACAAGGCAATAAATAGCGATGTTTTGTTTTTTCAAGTCCTGGCATCGTGACTTTTTGTTGGGCTGGGATATCTATTGCAACCATACTGGAGAAGGTGCTACACCACCTCAATCCCGCCCCACGCAGATGCATTCTTACAGCACAGGCATTCTACAAGTAAATATAGTGTAAAGCGGTCTAAAGTTACCATGAGACTTCTGGGGTGGTGCACCAAATTCCCAAGGACGGGCTCATGATGAGAGCAACCGACAATCAGAAACAAAACAAAAACTAATTCCTTCAACATGGAAGTCCAACATTGTTTGCCTATTGCATGGATGCGTCACTTTTTTCCTGCTGATTGAAGAGATGACAGACCTCACGATCAGAAGGTGACAATCGTCCTTCATCCTCATCAAGAGTATCACACAAACTCTGCTCCTCCTTTTTTTGGTTTCAGACCTCAAAGGTCACCTCCCCGGACATCGAATTCCTCAAAGCGACTGGGCGCTATCCATGGTGGCGCGACAAAAGCGGCCATGGTCCAAGTTGGCCTCGATGAGGATAGCATCGCCTCAATGAGGATGGAGTGTACTATGCAGTGTCTATCCATAGGAAAAGTATGTACCAAGTGGATGAAGACGTGGCCCTGTCAGTTTGAGAGCATACGCTGAAAAGTGACTATATATACTATACTGTAAATACTATACCGGTGGATTTTACTTGTTGCATCTTGTTGCACTGGGTACTTGTTGAGTGTCAGTAGAAGTGGGATCCAAGTCCAGCAGATTGAAGTGAACTCTCGATCCCCCTGAGTTAACGATGTGAAAAGGCACGACCTGAGCCACACAGAACAGGACCGGAAGGCTTTGCCACGAAGGATGGAGCCACCCATAAAAAGAAATCCAGTGTGAGGGATGAACCGTCAGGGCCGCCAGGGGATCGATATCCTTTGAATGCAGACTCACGACCCTTTACGTCAGTCCATCCATTTCTTTCCCTGGAAGGATGTAGATCAATCTGACCAAAAGCAATGGCCGTGTTGGCTCCGGCTCGAGGAGTTCGTCAGCACCAAAAGCATTAATGTTGGATGTTGATTAGTAAACCGGTCTTCAATAATGCTAAATTTTCCAAAATTATTCCAGACCCAATGTTTGAAAAAGCGGTCCTTAATAATGCTATTTTCTGGGGGGGGCCCTAATTTTTTGATATTGGACACCTAATTAATAATGGACTGCACCTTTGCTGACTGGGCTCAGGGTTCCCTGTGGAGCAGGACTCTCCTCCTGAGGCCAATGATTATGATTCATTAGCTGATATAGGTCTTCTTCAAAACTGACAGCTTTTCACAACCACCAATTCCTAATTCAATCCTTTATGTGAACATTGCTCCTAAACAAATTTTCTAGGTAGTAGACCAGGAAGGCACCTGATCCTCAATAATAGCTTTGTTTTAGGGGATGTCAATTGTGAAAAGTTTATCCACTGGAAAAAAAACGGTTCATGGAATCTTCCTTTACTTAGTTCCTGAGGCCAATGATTATGATTCATTAGCTGATATAGGTTTCTCTATGTTTCTTCAAAGCTGACAGCTTTCCAAACCACCAATTCCTATTTCAATCCTTTATGTTAACATTGCTCCTAAACACGTTTTCAAGGTAGTAGACCAGGAAGGCACCTGATCCTCAAAAATAGATTTGTTTTAGGGGTTCTCAATTGTGAAAAGTTTTTCCCACTGGACTACTACACTACTACTACTACTACTACTACTCCTGCTACTACTACTACTACTACTACTACTACAAAGAGAGAAATACTACAATCAATTACAAAAAGGAATCCTTGTAGGAACCCAGATCTGGTAGTTTATTATAGAGGGTGCCCCATGTGTTTGAGGGAGGGGGGGGGATCCCCCTTTACTAATCAGGATCCAACATTAATTAAGTTGTATCGAACCATTTCTTCTTTTGTGAGATTGCGGCCGCCTCTCAGCAGGCCTACCCTCTCGTGGCTGGGTACGAATAAACATGTGGAACAACTGCCGGGTGGCCGAGGCTGGCCGCGTTGAAGCAGCACCGTTGGAGGTTCGCCCGTCCTCGGTGCGAGTCTCTGATCCAAAACATGGTCCAAATGCAGTAGGGTTTCTTGAACGCCTGACTGGGATGCATTCTCCCTACTACCTACCCAGCGACCAAGCACCCCTCAAACCAATGTTGAGAACGGGATTTTGTTGGTGTTAACTTTGTTCACCATGGGGTGGACGCAGCATTGCTCCCTTCAACCCAGAATTCCCCAAACAAGCTGTCAACCACCGATTCAAACAAAACTATGTTGCTTCTTACTTGGAGCTGCCTTTCACCGGTTTCTCCCCACCGTTATATGGACTCCCCCCACCAACGCCCCCAAAAAAAAACAGTACAGTAACAACAACCAAGATCTTGGGCAAATTCTTGTCCAACCAGGATGTGTTTAATTATATAAGGTGTTATTTTTTAAAAAAATATTCATTGGGGTATATTGGGGTCGGTTTCAACCGTACCACCTGATGCTGGGTGTTTCTTCGGCCATGCTGGTGTCTGGCTGAATCCACCAGAAATCCGCACCCCGGAGGCCAATGTGGCAAGCATCGGAGGCTAGCACCTTCGAGAAAGGACTCCTCACAAAGAGCGAAAAAGGAAAGAACACCTCCGATCCGATCTCGATCTTGTCTGACTGATCTCGATCTTTGCAAACTGCTTCTTCAATGGGGCACATATGGATGACATACGATGGACAGCTCTCCTCTAAATCATGGCCTTCCAAGTTCACGCCATCCAGCTGTGCCCCTGGGAAGGTGGCACGCCTAGCACAGGAATTGGATGGGGAATCAGTGGGGTTCACGTGGTTTCTCATGGTTTCTCAATATCGATTCTGGATTCATAAAACTTGGCAAATTTCCAGGACGTTTGTTCGTAGTTCTTGAGTAGGAGGGGTGCATGTATAATCCGTGAGACGGATGCCGGGGATTCGGGGATCACTTGCAAAGGCTTCAGCTTCCGCAGCACGTCCAACCAAAAGCCTGAGGCTCCCCTTCTCGAGCTGCTTCTGGACAATCCTGCGGAAAAGGAACACCCGAGAATTGCCGGAAAAGACCCGAGTGGAACAAATTAGCTGGAAAAGGTCACCAAGCCATCTTCCACACCCACCGGCGCGTTGTTTGCACCACGTCTTTAGGTTTTTTGACTTCAAAAGAATCGAAGACTCCAAGGCCTGCCCGAGATCTGCACATGGGGACACAGCTCCCACAGAACTGATCCGAAGCTTAAACGTCTTTGGATAACCTACCCAGGCGCTGTGTCCAATCCCTGGCAGCTTGATGTTGTCCATCGATTCTTTGTAGTGCTCTCAGCTTGCAACTCTCAGATCTGAAACTTCTTCTTGCACCTTTCAGCTTTGGTCAATGGAGACCATTGAAAATCCTTGAAACATCAACCATAGCAGCATGGACATCTTGCGGCCGCTGATCCAC